ATATAGAAAATAAAGATATAAAGTATAGTGACATTATTTAAAAATCAAATATAAATATAAATATTTAAATAAAAATTGTATTTATAAATGAATCCTTATTGCCTATTGGTCGAGAATTCTAAACTTTTTTAAATATTGAAATTATAAATTTTGGACTAATAGAATTTTATTAATTGCTGCAATTCTGTCTGTATTAAAAACTGTTTCTAATGCTGGACAAGTTGGGTTTCTCAAAAGACTGATTCAAATGAAAATAGTTTTTTAAAATTATTTGGCAATCCGTACAATAAAAACATGTATCTATTTCAAATTCATTTYATTTTTTTATTTCAATTTATCCTTAGTCCATAGACTATATAACCAAGATGAATATTTGATTAATTTTTTTCGTGGAATTTAGAATTTAGATAGTTAGTTTAACCATTGATTTTATAATATATTTTATATATTATATACCTATATGTATATACTTATTCTCTTATAAATTTATTGTATCTTAATTGTAGGAACATTACTATTTTTGAATTATTGATTTTCCATAATTTTTTTTCTTTTCAGGATAYTCATATAGATGACAATTTTAATCATGCAAAAGTTAAAGAATCTAGTCTATTAATAGATAGTTATAATAATGAAGATTGTCAGATTGATAAGTATCATTTACAGGAAATGAATTTTTTTAAATCTATTGAACAGCCAAATGTAAACAATCTTACTGAAAATATCAACATCTTTAATGATTTATCACAATCACACRCAAATGTATCTCTTGAACAAAATGAAGATGTATCTGGTCTGTAAAAATGGTCTTTTCTCCTWACTGTTTGTCCTTTTTTGTTGTATGTATTAATTTATTAACTTTATTTTTAATAGATGCATTTTGGAACTATTGTTCAGATCCGATGTCTCAAAATAGTGCAAACAGTAGTTTATGTGTATGTAAAAATTAACTAATTTATTTTATATCAACTAAATTTTTTTTTCTTTTTTTTTAGAGGTTAGACTTATCTGAATCAAATGGAAATATTCATAATATTAGTCAATATTCCGATAATATGCAATTCAACTTTTCAAACTATTTCAACAGTAAGCTATTATTTATCACTGAATTTATTTTTTATTTCAATTTAATTTAAAAAAATTAAATGTTTAAAAAATTGCAGGTGATTTAGATGTTACTCCTGAATTAAATTTACTAGGTTTAGAAACACCACAACAATCTAGTACACAAACTAATAAATCTGATTTTTTGTCATCTGGTAAATTTAATTTCAAATTTTATTAAAAATAAAATTATATGTACTGTTTAAAAATAAATACTTCTCTTTTATGTTTATATAAAGGTCAAACGTATACTTTAACAACCTTTATATCATTCAAGTAGTTATAGTAGGCGTTTATTTATTTTTTATGTCATTAAAATACTAAAATTACT